TTAGCACCAGAATTGGGCCCTGGCATTCCAGGCTGGGCTCTGATCCCCTTTCAGCATCTCCCCAGCCTGCCCTGCACACCCCCAGCCCTGGAGCCTTTTTCGCCAGCAGGCTGACTCCCAGCTCTGTAACACACATTGATCAGCTCTAATTCCTCAGCCTGCTTTCTAATAATTTTCTAAAACAGTTTTAAGTAGCAGGGTACAGCCACCAAGTTCTTTATTAAACCTGACACTGTGCCATGATATGGAATAAAGTATTCTCGTGGTCTCTGCTGAAACCCCAGCTGTACTGGAGGGAGAGTCAGAGCAAAGGGGATGTGCAGGCTGTGGAAAACATTGCTTCAGGAGCAGAAGTGAAGTGAAGTGAAGCCTCAGTGTGAAGGCAGAGCCAGGGGGGTGTTGCTTTGGCCAAGGTGGCACACGCTGCCCATGCCCCCAATCTCACCAGGAGCTGTGCAGGTGCCTCGTGGGCAGGGGGAGGCTGCTGGGGGGTCATGAGAAAGGCAGAGMSAGGGKGTGACAYTGAGGATGTGACACTGAGGGGGTGACACTGAGGGGGTGACACCTGGGCTTGGCTGGACAGGCCTTTCCGGGAACCACTGTGATTACAAGAAGCAGAGGTTTGGTGGAGCCAGCTCCATGTCAGTCACCTCACAGGCTCAGGGGACGCAGGCACAGCCAGGCAGCTGCTGTCCCTGTCCTGAACAAACCAGGATCACAGCCACCAGCGAAGAAACAGGGAAAGCTGAGGTCTCCACTCACCACAGAAATAAACATTGACACTGGCCATTGCTAGAGWGCCTGGATTCCTTCCACTGTTTCCTGAAATGCCATAACAGCCATGAATGTTTCATTTATTATCRCAAAGAAGGGATTTTTTCCCTTGCAACACTTAGTCTGCCCCCTGCTCCCTTTCCTAGCACTTGTCCTCGTGGTGACATCCCCATTCCAGTGCAATCCACAACACTGTGCTGGTGGCCACAGAATTACTGAGTTCTTTTTCCCAGCTCCTTGGAAAGAGCTTGTTCAATGCAGAATGACTTGTTCAAAGAGAATGACTTCCATGAAACATAAGGCAGTTAAGAGGCTTTTGCAAATCATCKATTTTTCATGCCACTGGCAATTTCAAAACCATCCTTTTGGATCAAATGAAACATGCTATTTCATACCAAATGGTCTGCTCATAGCTGGAGCCTTTCTGTTTTTATTCTGGTGATTAGGAAGCTGCTTCTAAACATGGAGGTTGCAAAGTTGAAAGCTTTTATTTTGAGCTATCRTGTCCCAATATTTTAATCTAGGCTTACAATGGATTGCTTGATGGAACCAGTTTAGCACAAATGGGATGAATATATCAAATATATTTTAACCAAAAAGGATTTGGCCCATTTTTTATATTTAGCTCCATTAACGACCTTTGCCAACTGCTTTGCCATTTGCAATGAAATATTTCAGCAATGATGCTGCTGTTCCTTTATTTCCTCAAACAGAAGCAGATTTTTACAGAAGGGCTTTTTAATTTCTGCATGCAGCTGCATGTCTGTCATTGTCTGAGAACCCATCCCAGGGGATTCGTGGCTCTTTGCAATCTCTCATTCAGCTCGATGGCACCTTTACAAGTTTGTATTCTCTCAACTTTAGTGCTTTTATTAATCTTGCCCCCACAGAGCAGCTGAGAG